GTTGATATTTGAAGAAGAAAAAGAAGAAGAAGAAAAGGGAAGAAGAAAGAGAAAACATGAAAGACGAAGAAAATGAAAGAAGAAGAAGAACGTGAAGACATAAATAGGAGACAGAAAGAAGAAAGAAGAAAAATAAGAGAATAAAAATAGGATGAAGAGAATAAATGGTTATTGATTTAATTTTTTGAATTAAAAGAATTTTTTGTGTTTATCTAAATTTACCCAATTTTAGAGTATTTTGGGTATTGTGTGTGGGTAGTTACTGTTATGAAATATTAGTCTTAAATGGGGGCAGTTAAAAAATTTACATGAGTAGATGAGAGATGAGGTGTATTGTTCTATTATTGGGCCATTACATAACACATCTATTATATATTTATATTGGGCTTTTATATTGGGACTTTTATAACTTATACTATACTATATAACTAGTGCGTGGCCCGTGCGACGCACGAGAAAACAATATTATTATGATTATGTTATAAATTAAATATACAAATAAATTAATCATGATTTAGCCATCGTTTTTAAATTAAACCGTATTGGACACAACCCAACCGAATGGACTGAGAACCGATTTATAATCAGTCTAGTTCATTGAATAAATATATGATATTGAATCCGTCAACATCAGTCGGTTGAACTGGTAAGGTCGATACGATTTTTTTAAATAAACTGGCTATATTTAAAATTATTTTAAATAACATCACAATCTCGATAATCCTCCAATGCGAAAGCAATGCACGATGTACACTGCAAGATTTCCCCTTCCGAGTATTCTTTGTTTCTTAAACAAATGACGTCTTTTGCAGCACGCGACTGGTTTTGAGAGGGCTTTGTTAACCTCTTTCTATTTGCTGTTTGCCAGACTGAGAAGGAAATCGGTAAAAATGTGTTCATATTCTGGTAAACAAACTATATTTTGTCAGCAGTTTCCAATTAATTCAAGGGTAGATATATTCCGAAAATCGGCTGTATGTTTATATCAATGACATAATATTGGTCCCGTGTGCCATGCTCTCGGATTATATCCAGGTTGAACAACTGAAGACCCTACCAGAAGAGCACCTAATCAACTATACAGAAACTCGACTAAAACGAAAAAAAAATAAAAAATAGCATGGATGAACAGTGTACCAGTCGCCTCCTCAGTGCCTTAGCCAGTCTCTCGAGTAATGGCCGTGGAGGAAGTTCTGCAAGAAATGTGGCTCATTAGATGATAAATAATCTCACATGTTAGCACACACACTCCCTAAAAGGCTGATTATAAATCATGATAAAGTCAGGAAGATAGAACGATGGAAACTAAATCTGTAGAAATACCGAAGGATCAATTACAAATAATTACTGAAAGGTTCAACTGAAATGTCAAAAGGAATACAAAATCTCTTAAATTACAAATAGCATCTTGAGACGTTGGTCGCAACTAAAAGCCATGCATCGCGAGCTGTAAAGAAAACTCGTTTGACAAAATTAAAAACGGATAAATCTCAAATCTATAAAGTAGAACTCACCACCAACAGAAGGATCGAGATCTGCCTCATCAGCAGATGCAGCAGAACAAGACACTCTCGGAAAACGATTAACACCGGCAGTCTTTGACAATTCACGCTTGCTGACATCAGGCAAGGAAAAACGGCGGACAACCTTTATTGCCTCTCCTACAATATAAACCTTGAACAGCATGCCTCCTACATTTAAAAGTTTGTTAGTTTATTAAATAGCTAATTAAACTTATTTTGGGTTCCTCCATGCAGAACATTATACAGTTACTGAAGAAAACCGTGTGAACTCCACACACACACAACACACTCATTCTCACCGTGATTAATGAATTCTTGCAGAACTAGTGGTGGTTCGAGCTTCTGTAGGGAGAACTCGTCGTAGGCAAAAGACAGCTCATGTGACTTCGCGACCAAAGGTTTTGCCTAAATTTCCATACATTGATTTGAATTAAATCTCAAACAAAAGAGGAGAACATCCAAAAAAAGAAAAGTAACGCTTCCAGAACAGCTTATTATTTTACATATATAGCATACTAATTATACTGATAGTTTGAAGTGTACATAGAAGATAACCAACTGTTTAGGGACACTGACTTTTCCTGAACATCAGATGCATTTGAAAACCTTATTTTCATCTATACATGATATAACTGTACATTTTTTGGTGGCGGTTCGAAGTATCAAAGATTACGAGTACTTTTAGTCAACAAAATAAATGATGTGCTTGTATTGCTGGAAGAGAGCAGGGAAATATGTAATTAGACCTCAAACGTAATAAACCCCATTCTTGATTTCTTGTCTTACCCACATAAAACAAATAAACATTGTGAACTCTTGTACTCAACTATATACAAAAGTTCCACAACGGCCTAATACTCAAAGGTGTAAAAATATAAGAAAATTACCATAGGTATCTGCCAGATTCAGGTCAGCAACATCTTCGAGCATGGATTGACGATTATATACTTGCTGTATAGCATCAGGAGGATCAAGAACTGTTACTTCTGGATGTGCTTTCCGGTAATCCTATGAAAAAATAGATAAAAAGTAAAATCATAAAATGACAACAAATTAAGCACGTTCAATCTTCAGCGAAGCAGAGCTTAACAAATTCTACTTCCACAAGAAAAGAGCAGGAAATAAAAAAGAAAAATATCATGAAGTAAAATAGCAACTAATGAAATGTTAAGTGTGCCCGCTTGTTTCAGACAGAAAATAAGTTAACAAACTATTGAGGGAATTAATGGATGAAAGTATGTCTTGGATTTTGCAGACAACTTATATGGAAAATGATTTTCTTCGTTACTAAAACAAGTTAGCATGGCCCAAGAATTAGCAGTCAGGACATATTGCTCAAGACATTTGCTTCATCCTAACTGATAGCATGTGTATGAAGGGATGGAAGAGATTTTGATGGATTATGTGCACCAAGAAAACACCCGTACATTGGTGTTGGTCTTGTTTAAATTGTCTCTTATCGTCGCCCTCAAGGATGCTTTCTTGGCTCTTGCCGATTTCTGAAGATCAACTTGAAGAGGTGTATAGACAGAAAAACAAAAATGAAGTAAAAACCGACCCTTTCGATTGCCTGATTTATCGGTCAAGAAATGTATTTTTACAGAATTCATTTCGCCTTTTCGCTTTTAATTAATGTTTGTGTGAGGGATTGAAACATTTAACAGGTTGATCTCTCATCTAAATCCGCATTTTCATGTTTTTGCAGGTTGATCTCTCATCTAAATGAATATCGAATTGAGTTTTCGATTTTGCAGTTAACAGGAAACAAGAACTTGTGGAACAGTTGTGCTTATCATAAGAGAAAAAGGAAAATAAAAGTTGAACTTTTACTGTGATGTAGAAATTAGTAAATATACATACACAAGAATTGAAATAAAAAACAAAGATCGGGGGCAAGAAAATATTACCATCTTTCAAGTCCAAAAAGATAATAATCGCCAATTCCATTTTCATCCATGTGGAAAATACCAACAGAAGAACACAATATAAACTGATATAGTATCAGTGTATATTATTCAACAAATTGAAACTGGAATTTGACAGATTCGGCCAGTGTACATTAGCGATTCATAAAGGGCGTTGAATATTAACCGCATCATAAATTTTAGAACTTTTAGTTTCGACATTTCATTTACTGCAGTTCCTGATTCATGCAAGTGGAATTGTGTTTAATTGCTCAACAAGACCTCAATCACCAGAGGAAATAGCTAATGTATCACAAAATCAGTATAATACACTGTTGACATGCCAAAACTTGAAAAATTAAAGATAGAAAAAGGAAAAACAATACAACACCAAAAACCTAAAAAGGAAAAAAAAAAGAAAAAAAAAAAGAAAGGAAACTCGTCAAAATCTCTCGATGAAGCTTTAGTTCTTTTTACCTCTGTTCCGTTTAGAGGCTACCACAGTCCATCCATCATCTAACTTAGGAACACTTGGCTCAGGATTCACAGTGCCCTTTTGGGTGTGATTAGATTGCAATTGTGGATCATCATCAACATCCATCTCCATTGGATTTTCTCCAACTAGATTATTGTCATCTTTATCATCATCATCACTATCATCATGATCATTGCTGCCAGACTAGCATAATAGGAAATGATACTCTTTAAATCAAGCAAATATATTGGTCTCAGCAAAATATTAAGGAAAAGTACATTCAACGAGCTATAGAAATATTTTTAGAAAGAAAACAGTTGACGAAGGCCAATGGCTTGCTTTTTTCTCCACTGAACTGGAAATATATTTTCCATAGTGGCATTCACAATTAGAGTATCCTTTTGGTTCGGTTTTCGACCATGGAAAATAGTAGATAAAACATGAACAAACAAAACAATTGGAACAAGAAAGCAAATAGCAACACAAAATGCTGGCCATTAACATGGAATATATTTCATAAAAAATGAAATTACAGATAGAACTGCAGCTACCTGTCTGTTATAAGAAACAGTTGGGACATTTGATTCTCTCAACGTCTTTATGGAGTCGAAATTTCCTTCTAAGCATTCTTCACGCATAAACATTAACTTTTCTGCTACCTGCATAAGTTCTTGTTAGAAGGGGATAAAATGAAACAAAATATAACACAACTAGCATAAACGCAATATACAGAAAACCTTCACTTAAGCAGTATATTTAAGTTTCTCATTTCGTATATTGAAACTGGAGGAAGAGACCCTTCAGATATTGATATTTTCAACTTATACGAGGATTTACAACAAGATTCGCCTACAACTAACTATAATGATAAGTGATTGTGAGTTTTTTATCGACTGCAAGGGTCACCATCTCCAGATTGTATTACGCATCCAGCTACTAAATTACACAAGTTGGATCTTAAATCCCAGATATTGAATCCCCGTTAAAAGTAAATAATAGTAAAGAAGTATGTGTTCCTCCCCATTCTGGATCAATCATTTGAGGACCCATTAAAGCATTCTCAAGCGCCAACTACAAGGCTAAAAATGATGAACTCTAGACAACTACCACGATTACTGCATAACCTGATTTTTTAACCATTTACACAACAAATGCATTTGAAAGGGTCAAACATACATTATTATTTTGGAAATGTTGTGATTTCATTGAACATAACATTATAAACACAAGAAAAGAAAGTATGGTGTATGGTCTAGACTGGAGATAATTTGTATCGTAATAACTTTGGTTCCAGCTCGAAATATTCAACATTATAATAGGTGACAAAGTAGAACAAACTCAGTTAACGTGTACTAACCATTCAAACATAAAAAAGATAACTACTACAAGTTGAATAAAATCACATAAAGCTAGCTAGACAGTAAGTTCACCAACTGCAATAGTTATTAAGTATAAACATCCCAAATGAAATTAAACATTTGTAGGATTGGAAAACCTCAACGCTCACAAATGTCCAAAATAAACCCCTAAATTATTTAGCCTCAAAGATTGAATCTTTAGTTCCAGTTCAAAAATTCACGACTGGAGGTATCAACGGGATAATTCCTCCTCAATGCTGCCATCTCCAATCTCAGTGTTCAACGAAAGCATGAAGTCGTCAAGCATATCCTCTATGTCATCAATGTAGACTTGTTCTGCAATTATAGAACCAAAAATATTTAAAAAAAAATAAATAAATAACCCAGCATTAGCTTGTTACAAAAAAGCAAACCTAGAGATCCATAGAGATAATGCCAACTCTAAGAAAAAGGAAGAACATATACAATATTAACTAGATATATCTTCTAAATTAAGGTCTATTCAACCTGGACTCGGATATGGGTGCGCATCGGGTGTGGAGATATGAGCGTCCGATTCGTCAATAGTTTAGAAATCTTGAACATTTTAGGCTAAAATGCCACACCCGACACTCATACCCACACCAGTGTCGACACAACATGACACGGGTATTCTTCCTAAATAGAAGAGTCCCGGTAACATAGATTAAGGTAAGTCCCTTGCTTGGTCCCAGAAGAGAGATCATCGGGGGTAAGGACTTAACTTTTTTCTAACTCCCCAGCAGCATCTGGCATTCTTTCTCTGATTTTAGTTTTTTCTCCTAAATTTCCTTCCCTTGTAAAGAATATATTTTCTTCTAAATTCTTACTACCTCAATCACTAAAACTTATGTTTATCAACAAAAATGCTATAAAATTCACAATCAGAGAATATGTTCAAAGAGGATGGCATGTAGGACAAGACAAAACCTTTTGTTTGAGTGAGGCGTTGAAAAATACTCAGCTCGAGCTGATGAGATTTGTTGAGCGAGTCACGGCCGCCCCACTCGTTCTCGACGACCATGCGGAGGGCGGCCCATCGAGAAAAGACCAAATGAATCCCCTCTTGCAGCTGCGCCGCCGCCTCCGCCGTCAGAGTAGGTTCCATTTTTTCCTTTTTTTTTTGGTCTTCCTTCCCTTATAGATTTATAACGGTCTTGTTTTTTATACAAGGAAACACTCCCGTTACAGAATCATTCTGCCAAGATTTGTAATCGTTAGATCCTCATGTAACTATCAGGAATAGTTGATCTAACGGTTAAAAATCCCAACATGATGATTTCGTAACGGGACCGTAACATCTTCCTTTTATCTAGTACCTTTTTTTGGTACAAAAAAGAAGGTCAAAACCTAAAGACAGCTAA